AAGGAAAAAGGAAAGGAAAGGAAAGGAAAAAGGAAAGGAAAGGAAAGGAAAAAGGAAAGGAAAGGAAGGAGAGAGAGAAAGAAAGAAAGGAAGGAAGGAAAGAAGGAAGGAAGGAAGGAAGGAAGGAAGGAAGGAAGAAAGAAAGAAAGAAAGAAAGAAAGAAAGAAAGAAAGAAAGAAAGAAAGCGAGCCAGCGAAGTGCTTAAGAATTTCCATGCCCAGATATAAAGGCCTCCTGTAACCTACCCTGATTCTTCTGTGCATACAAAAATGAAGTGCTTTCTATTCCCCTTTGCCATGTATTCTGATCTCACCAAATCCACACTTCTTCACTACGCTGCAAATGTTTCACTTAGTTGAGACACATATTTGTTTAGGCACACACACGTGTATATGTCTGTGTACATTTAGTTTCTCATATACCTATCCATTTATGATTTCAGAATTTTAGTGTTAATGACAAACTGTGAACTGTGATTAAGGTCTATTAAGAGATGAACTATTTACTGTGGTGGTTTGAGAGAGAATGGCCCCCATAGGCTCATATGCTTAGTCCCCTTAGTGGAACTGTTTGGGAAAAATTAGGAGGTGTGGCCTTGTTGAAGGAGGTGTGCCACTGGGGGTGGGCTTTGAGGTTTCAAAGGCTCACAGCCAGGTCCATTCTCTCCTCTCTGCCTGCAGGTTAGGATGTAAAGGTCTCAGCTATTGCTCCGTGTCATGCCTATTTGTTCCCTGCCATGGTGGTCATGGACTCACCTTCTAAGACTGTCAGCAAGCCCCCAAGAGTTACCTTGGCCATGATGTTTCCTCACAGCAATTGAATAGCAACTGAGATGCCTCAAACTGACTCACAGTAGATGACCACAAATATCAGCCAATTGCTCATCTATTATTAAATCTACAGAAGAGACAATTCTTTGTCTATTGTTTGGATCTCAAAACACAGCTTTATCTTTAGTTTGTTTCTAAACTAGATGAGCTAGTTTTTCCTCTTGTGCACTGATGGATAACTGAACTTCAATCCTGGAGCCTGGCCTTGTGGGGTAAGCTCTTGTGTGACCCTTTCCTCCAATTTCAGGAGAGCCCCTGTTAAAACCTATGGGAAGATTCAACACCACAGGGATGGTAAGATGGCTCAGCAGCTAAAAGCACTTGCTGCCAAGACCAACAGCATGTGTTTGATTCCTTGAACCTACATTGTGGAAGAGAGAACAGCTTTCCACAAATTGTCCTCTGACCTCCACACCAAATAAATAGAAGTGTAATAACAAAAGATACACTACAGAGCAAGTGTTGGTCATATGATGTATAGTGTATGGAAACAATTGTAACTAATTGTAACATGCGCCTGGCAAAAACAGGTGTGCATTGTGGCTAAGAAGAATTCCATCAACTGATGGAATGTAGAACTTAGGTTAGACATCGTATTCCAGTTAGCTGCCCAGTTACTCTAGGGACCTGAAATAAAAACGTATTCCAACAAAGGCCACTCATTCAGCTTCTGAGCAAACCCTAAGTACAGATCATGTCATAGTACAAAGTTGGATTTGGAAGAGAAATGGGTTGAATCACACCATTTTTCACCTTTTTCTCCCCCGCAGCCTGAGTGCTGCCTTACAAGAAGCTACTAAACAATTAGTAGGGCTCAGTCGGCAAAGTGCTGGTTGCCTAAGTATGAGGACCTGTCTGACCCCAAAACCCACTTAAAAAGCCAGATGTGGCGAAGTACACCTGTAATCTCAGCACTGGAGGAGTAGGGACAGGAGGATCCTCCAGACTTGCTGGCCACCCATTCTACCCTACATGGTAAATCTCAGCTCCCAGTGAGAGCCTTGTTAATTTATTTATTTTTTCCAATGTGGGTGTTGTGGATGGAACTCAGGTCCACAGGGAAGGATATTTTAATACATTTATGAAAAGCTATTTTGCTGAACATTTTTGCCAACTTATTATCTCTTAGCAGAGGAAAAATACTGACCCCCTTTGCTATGGAGGTGTTCTCTCAAAGAAAGGAATTCAATTCAGACTAAGTTTTTTTTTTTCTTTTCTTTGTGTGCAATGCAATGCATGTGTGGGTGTGTGCATCCATGTGGAGGCCAAAGGCTGACATCAAGATGTCTTCCTCAGTTCTTTGAGACGAGCCTGGATCTCGCCACTCTGGCTAGTCTGGCTGGTCAGCAAGTCCCAGGAATCTGTCTCTGCCTCCCCAGGGCTGGGATTCCAGGTGCTCACTGAGGGGCTTTTGTGGGGGTTCTGAGGATTCAAACTCTTGGTCTTCATGGTTGAGCAGAATCGATTTGACTTAATGAGCCATCTCCCCAGTTTGAGTTGCACAAGTTTAAACTGAAGTTTAACTCCCCACCCCCACCCCCTAGGAGACAGGGTTTCTTTGTGTAACAGTCCTGGCTGTCTTGGAACTTGCTTTTTAGACCAGTCTATCCTCCAACTCAGAGATCTGCCTTCCTCTGCCTCCCAAGTGCTGGGATTAAAGGTGTGTGCCACCACTGCAGGCTAAACTGAGGTTTATTGAATAAAGCAAGCACTCCAAAAATTGGGGTGGGCTGTCCAAAAGGGGAACAGCAGGTTCTGCATTGTGGATTTTAAAGTTGTATGAAATACTTAAGTGAGAGGCATATTCATGAATATGCCCAAATCATGGTGGGCCACATCTCCCTTTTAGGGTATATTTTCCCATGATCCTCCAGAAAAACCCACAAAAGGGATGTGTCAAAACCATGACATAGGGGGCAGGCAAAGGCTCAGACACAAAAGCCTAACCACCCAAATTCAATCTCCAGAACCCATGTGAAGACGGACGAAGAAAACAGACATCCTAAGTTTGTCCTCTGACTTCTGAATGCATGTTATGGCACACATCTGCCCTTGACTCCCAATTATACACACAATCAAAGTCTTTAGAAAAATGCACAATGTAAATTACAGTGCTGAAGTTTTTTCAGGATAAGATTTCTTTGTTAGGTCACATGTGATACCTTAGTTTTGGTGAAGCAGGAACCACCTATTTGTGGCCTTAAGAATGCTTAACAAGTCAGTGTCAGGAATTTAGCTACCAGAGACACAGTTGCAGCTCTCTTGGTGACTTATCTGCTGAGACTGCTGAAGGTCCCATGTCTGATCTCTGGACAAGCTGTCAGTCTTGGCTATTGTCTCAGTCAAAACAATAGTATTTAAAAACAACAACAACAACAACAAAAAACCTGATGCCTTATGAAAGTTGGGGCCAGGGTTTTACATTAGCTTGTTAGGCTGTACAAACAGGACCAGGCTTAGGCTGTCTTCTAGGTCTCTTTCCCCAGCTCTGATTCTAATTATCATCCTAATGTGTTAGCCTAAGTGCTGAAATAGATGAAATGGAGTTGGCCACAACATGGGGATGCCAGATGTTCACTTCTACTAAGTGATAAGAAAGGACCAAGTCTTGGGGTGGTGGTGGTGCATGCCTTTAATCCCAGCACTCAGAGGCAGAGGCAGGCAGATCTCTGAGTTCCAGGCCAGCCTGGTCTACAGAGCAAGTTCCAGGACAGCCAAGGCTACACAGGGAAACCGCATCAAGAAAAACCAAAAGGGCCAAGTCTATATAAGGTCTGGATAAGTCAGCACTAAATCCACACCTCAACTACCTAGTATCTGATCTCTCAACAGTGTCTATAAATAGCTATGTTCTTCATAGTATTTCTCTAGTCTGACAACAGACACCTTTCCTTCAAGTACAGAGATGTAGAAACAGATGTAATATACTTGTGGTAAGACTTCAAAGATTTATCTTGTTTTGCCTTCATGTATGTATGTTAACCACATGAATGCCTAGAGTTCTCAGAAGTCAAAAGAATGTTGGATCCCTGGAATTGGAGTTACAGAGCAGCTGTGAGCTACCATGTGGGTGCTGGGAGGCAATCTCAGGCCCCTGTAAGAACAAATGCTCTTAACTGCTGAGCCATCTCTCCAGCCCCAGGATTTTGGATAAAAATTAGAATTCCAGTAATTGGTAAGATATAGCTCATTTAAAAATATATGAACACTAGTAAGGGCCAGGTCAAAAAGAACTGGCATGCCACACAGGAATGCTGTTTGGAGCAGGGCCTTGGTTCTGCTACAGCAGCTATCTAAAGTTCACCTCACGGCCCCAGCTCAGCTTGCTCACATTGATAATAATCTTTGAGTTTGTTTTTTGGTAAAAAAGGGGTGTGTGTGAGATTTTCTTAGTAAAATTCGATCCACATTTGGGTCTGCCCCTGGTGTTTTCAATGGGTAAAATTACAATTGACAAAGTGAACATGATTTCATTAGAAGGACACCTTTTCCAAGTCTCTCTTAAGTTTACCTGGTATTCTGACAACTCCTTGCTAACGAGCTATATCAATTATTACTCACAACAAGTTTTAAAACAAGTTTATTGAAGAATATTCTTAGGAAGGCAACCACTTTTGATTTGTCATAAAAAAAAGTTACATTTCTTTCTGTTGTGTACTAAAGGTCATGAAAGAGAACAGAGTCACATGCTTTTCCTCTGTGGAACCCTTGGGTAGTATAGCACAGTGTTGTCATTTCTGCACCGTGAGAATAAATTAAAAAAAAGTCTCTTCTATGTTTTTCTTCAACAATCGATGAAAATAACAGAAGGTGGCATAAACAAGCTGCATTTCTCTACTCATTCCGTAGTATTGGAGCCAGTATCTAGAAACAGGAAAGAGATCAATTCAAGGAGCAAGTCCTAAGTATCAGTATTTAGGAACATCTAGGAAAAGGACACAGCGGTGTGTGGGAGGAGGAGGAGGAGGAGGAGGAGGAGGAGGAGGAGGAGGAAGCAGGTAGAGAGGGGCACTCTGGAAAGGCCCTGCCAAGGTCAACAGCTTCCTTCCCAAGGCAGAGGTAAGATACAGCCTAAGCCTCCAGGTGTCTGCTCTGGGCTAGTGTAAACAGCTTTTTCAGGCCACATCCTGCTGGGAACTACAGCAATCTTCTGGTTCTGGCTATTGCTGTCTTTTCTTCTGCTACTCTATTGAGAACACAGCTTAATTTTAGGATGCTAATTTTAGAAGAATGAAATTTTACAGCAGCACCTGATTTATTCAAAATCACCGAAGAATGGAATTTTCCTCATTAACTGAACTTAATCTTTAAATGCTAAACTATATTTTAACCTTGTCTAAGATTTCAACTTTTCCTATGGAAACAGAAAAAAAAAGAATCCACCACAACCATTTCTTTCTTTCTTTTTTTTTTCCTTTTGCTTTTTGAGACAGGGTTTCTTTGTGTAGCCCTGGCTATCCTGGAACTCATTTTGTAGACCAGGCTGGCCTCGGACTCAAGAGATCTGCCTGCCTCTGCCTCCCATTTCTTAAGTTTTCAAATCTTTGCTGAAGATCAATTATTATGGTTTGCTTTATATGAGGGCAACTCTGCAGTGACCACCTAACTGAAGTAGATAAGGGTAATTTGCTACTTTTTATTGTCTGTGGTTGGGAAAAAAATCTGTATTTTTCAAAAAGAACAGCACCAAGGATCACCAGGCAGAAGCTCCTGGAAATAAACACGCCTACCCCACAGGGGGATCTCCGAGACTTTTGGTTCAAATGACTGAAACTGACCCTCTACTAATCACATCTATCCTGCTCAATACAGTAGTTGACTGGTTAGCAACATGCAGCTGTTTAAAATTTAAATTAATCCAAATTATCTAATGAAATAAGATGAAAAAGTTTGTAGTTGCCCTAGTCACATTGTAAGTGCTCTAGGGCCAAGCATGACTACTATGGACTGCAGACACAGCACATTTTCATCATACACAAACTCTCCTCAACAGAACTGGTGCTCATCACTCTGCTCCTCCACCAGGGCTAAGGATTGAACCTAAGGTCTCATACAAGCTGAGCCTTCTATCAATGTGCTCCATCTCCAACCCCCTTTTTACTTTTTTAGGCAGGGTTTAAGTTGCTCAGCCTGGCCTTGAGCTCATTCCATCATGGAGGCAGGCTTTGAAGTTGTTATCTCTCTTTTAGCTTCCCAAGTATCAAAGATTACAGGTCTGTATCAACTGGCCCATTTATATCAATTAATTTACAAATATCTAGGAACTATAAAATAATGCACAAATTTTATGGTCCAACAAACAAAAACCTAGGAGTTATAAGGATGCTACTAGCTTAAATTACATGGGGAAAAAAAAACCCATGAAAGTATAACTTATTTTGAATATAGAAATTTATCTTATGGTACAGCAAATAGTACCACCTTTGTAGAAATGGAAATTAAAACAAAAAGGCTCAAATGTTCATTATCCCTAGCAAAAAATAAAAGATTTTAAGTATCTGCTGGTCATACTAAAAAGTCTCTAGAACTACTTTGGAGGATTCCCAGTTAGCTCTGATGATAAGTCAATGTAATGGCGTTAATTTCCTAGACTTTTTGACATCTGGAAGACTTGCTAGCCTTTAATCCCAGCACTCCAGAGGCAGAGACAGGTGGATGTCTGAGTTCAGCCAGCCTGGTCTACATAGCGAGTTCTAGAACAGACAGGACTCCACAGAGAAACCCTGTCTTGAAAAATCAAAATCAAAATCAATAAAGGGCGGAAAATTTTATGTAGCCACCAGAAATCAGATTAAAAAGAATAATCTATATGAAAAAATAATTTATGTGTAAACATGTCTCTCTCTGTGCACAGATATGTTACTATAAAAATACAACCTTAAGACTTGAAAGTCTTTACTTTCGAAGGTGAAGAATTATCTGTACAGGTTTACATATGGAGCTTTTCTGTATTCTGTACATTTCTTTAGTGATCAGATATTCTTTGAAAATCCAAACTGTAGCCAGGCATGGTGGCACATGCCTTTAATCCCAGCATTTAGGAAGCAGAGGTACACTATGAATCTGAGGACAGCCTGGCTTACATAGTGAATACCAGGCCAGTCAAGGCTACAGAGACCCTGTCTCAAAAAACAAAAACAAAACAAACTTGATAGTAACACAAGATATGGAGATATTACTTTCTCTATTTCTCTTTCTCTTGCTTCTTAGAACCTCCCCTTCTTACAGTGGCAATCATTAAAGCACTGGGGACTGGTGCTTTAAACACAAGCTGTTCAGATTATCAATTAAAGTAAATACACAACAAAACACAGGGCTAGGACATGACTCAGTATCAGAGTGCAAATCCAGCAAGTACAAGGCCTTGGGTTCTTTTTAAAAATAAACAAAGCCAGGCAGTGGCGGCGGCGCACGCCTTTAATCCCAGCACTCGGGAGGCAGAGGCAGGCGGATCTCTGTGAGTTCGAGGCCAACCTGGTCTCCAAAGCGAGTTCCAGGAAAGGTGCAAAGCTACACAGAGAAACCCTGTCTCGAAAAACAAAAAAACAAAAAAACAAAACAAAACAAAACAAAAATAAAAATAAACAAAAGGAAACAAGCAGTCACGGAGCAGGGGGCAGATGTGCCACCTTTAAAATGTCTAAGGACTTTTAGGTCTGCTGTGGAAAATTCCCTTGCACAAATGTAACAAATCAGAGGACTGGGTATCTCCTATTATAACTGCAAGGTTCATGATTAGTTTAAATCAGGGTTAAAGTAATTCTCTTATATATAAAGTGTAGGGTATCCAGCAACACAGAAGTTTTAAGAGAAACGCTTGAAGCTACACGTTACTTTCTTACAGAGAAAGGGGGCATCGGGAAACCTGATGACTGCTTCAAACAAGCATCTCTATGGAAGGAAATTTAGCCATTAGCTTATTTTATTTGGATCTAAATTTAATCTGTATTATGTGTCATGTGAGTGTGCAGATGTAAGGTCAGTAAGAAGACAGATGGAGAATCCAGAAGCTAGGTTTTTATCTGAGGTTTTCAGATAGATCAAGATAATTAAAGAGGAGAAAAAGTATTTCAACAAGTTTTGCTTTCACAGTAATTAGGCGAGCACTTACTTTTACCATCACAGGCTACAATTTTCACTTTATCCACTTTAATAAGTTCTGTCACCTCTCTGAATTCAACATCATTCAATACAAAAGTCCAAACATTATCGCAGAATCTGTATGTATTTAGAGAGCCCTTTAAAACAAAACATTAAGAAATGCCATGAGAAGCCATTGTTTCCCCTCATACTTTATTCTAAAGTAATCCAAGAGAATTTAGCTACCAAGTATATACCTGCTAAAACAGTATGCTTAATGCTTAGCTTAATTTATTTAATTTTATCTACTTAGAAATAAGTAAGAGAAAACCTGGATAAGTCAGCTTAGGGAAAAGTTTAAAAATATTTTTTTCTAAATATTTTAGCAATCTAAAACAATCTGCAAATTACTTACCTGAAATGAAAAGCTACATGAAAGCTTAAATTTGTATGTCTACTGCCCTCTGGTGGATAAATTGCTAAAGTTCATTTGATCTCTCTTTTGAGAAAGGGTCTCTACACAGCCCTGGGTGTCCTGGAACTCACTATGTAGAGCAGGCTGTCTTGGAACTGTCTGCCTCTGCCTCCCAAATGCTGAGATTAAAGGTGTGTACCTCTACATCCTGTCCATTTGATTAAAAAAATGTTTATTTTTATATATGCATGCATATAATCTGGTGCATGCTTGCCTGAGTTTATATGTACTACATGTATGCAGATGACTGTGAAGGGCAGGAGAGGGAATCTGATCCCCTGAACTGGAGTCACAGGTAGTTGTGAGTCACCTCATATGGGTGCTGGAAACCAAACTCATATTTCCTCTAAGAGCAATAAGAGTTTTTTAGCCACTAAACTCTCCCCAGCCTAGTTGAGACTGGCTTCCAACTCCAAGAGATCTGCCTCCTAAGTGCTGGGATTAAACACATGCACCTGGCTCCATTTGAATTTTTTACAAATATTTAAAGCTCCATATTTCACTGGGTGTTCATTCTCTAAATTTGTACAAAAGCAGAGATTCCTAAGAAACATTAAGACAATTTAAATCCCATAACTGGCTCAGATGCATCATCTACTGAGACTACTTCCAATCAGCTTTTTCTGTGACTCTACTGTCACTCAGGCCAGAAACTTGAAATTACCAGTCTGCCTCTCCTTTCTACCATGTCCATAGTTGAATTCTATGTTCAACTATGTCATAGTTGTCAAGTCCTGTCAGATGTGCCTTTTTGAATCTTTCCATTTCTAGCCATCCCTTGTTAGAACTGTTAAGTGAAGCTACTTTGAGCCTTCTGATTCAGCTGGCTAAGAGGCATGGTCTTTTGTCTCTAGCCTCATTCCCTGTAACCCATTCTTCATGTGAGCACCAAAAAGGCAAATATAATTGTGTGGCTCCTGTGACTAACAGTCCTTCATTGACCTCCTGGTAACATTAGTACAGGGTGTGGACTTGCTGGGGAGTCCTATGGTGTCTTTGAGGTTCCCATCACATTAGAACCTACTGAAGAGTTGTTTCTGGAACTTCCCACCATATTCCAAATGCTATCTTCCTTTCCACGGTAGCACCACTCCTTTAGCTGACTGCCAATCTTGTCTTCCATACTTGTACTCCCACTGAACCAAGTAACATATCCTAACACTGTTAACTTATTTGTTTTAATGGTCTGCTCGCTGAACTACGCTGGTAGCAGAGACCAGTACTTCTGTTGTATTTTCAGAGCCTAGCAGAATCTAGCACACAGTAATTACTCATGTCTACTAAATTCATTAACTCATTCATTCACAGCCAGCAGTTTTTTAAAACATCCTTATATTTAGATTCAAAGAGTTTTCACCAATATGGATGATACTGCAGGAATTATTTAAAGATTTTTCTGTTTAAATATCTTGTGCTGAATTTCACATGTGACTGTATGCATGTGCATATAATGCATATTAGGCTTGATTCCATTCTGCTGGTCTTTAAGCTAAATAGAATGTCTCTGCATGTCTAGTTTGCTATAATACAGGGCAGGTTATGGAATCCTGGGCTGCAGCAGTAGCAATGGGGGAAAAAAAGTAAACTGAAAAATTAAGACTTGGTTAGGGCTAACTCTTGGAAAACTAACAGACTTAGAAAACATTGGCCGGGCAGTGGTGGCGCACGCCTTTAATCCCAGCACTCGGGAGGCAGAGGCAGGTGGATCTCCGTGAGTTTGAGGCCAACCCAGGCTACAGAATGAGTTCCAGGAAAGGTGCAAAGCTACACAGAGAAACCCTGTCTAGAAAAAACCAAAAAAAAAAAAAAACCAAAAAAAAAAAAAAAAAAAAAAAAACACTATGTATGAGAAATACAAGTGTCCAATTAATTTTTGCAAAAGAAACCCACACTAGACACTTTTAATAGAGCAATTAGAAGACTACCAAGGTCTCGTATCATCAGTTTTCTAAACAGCCCAAACTTATGTGGTTTAACATAGATCAATTTAAAATAAAAGTTGAAATTTTAAGCTGGGCAGATTCCTACCTATAAAGAACAACTTTATCAGAATCCCTACTATTAAAATCCAAGAAAAACTTGTCAAGTTTTATACTCTTAAGAGACTTTTTTTGAGACATGGTTTCTCTGTGAAGCCCTCCCTGACTGTCCAGGAACTCAAGTCTGTAGATCAGGCTGGTGGCAGAGGCAGAGATCTGCCTGTCTCTGCCTCTCCCGTACTAGGATTAAAGGTATGTGCCATCATGCCTAGCTGATAATTTTCTATTTGACTATTTATGCCTGTAATTTTTAAGCATATAAAACTGATACACATTTATATATAACATAAATGCATATTTTATCTCTTCAGTAAAATGTAAGCCAATAGGACCTTATCTATTTTGTTCACCTTTGCATTTCTGATACCTAGAACAATGTCTATTACCTAATGGGCACTTAAATGCTTAAGCATAATACAATACATTCTTTTGTATTGCCTCAACACCTAGGCTTTTTTTTTTCCTTCCTTTTTTTTTTTTAAAGATTTTTATTTATTATGTATACAATGTTCTGTCTGCGTGTATGCCTGCAGGCCAGAAGAGGGCACCAGATCTCATTACAGATGGTTGTGAGCCACCATGTGGTTTCTGGGAATTGAACTTAGGACCTCTGTAAGAGCAGTCAGAAGCTCTTAAGCGCTGAGCCATCTCTCGAGCTCCCAACACCTAGGTTTTCTTCAATGTAACTCACAGATTCTTTTCCTATATTGGTCTTCTTATGTTTTAAATTTATTTCTATAGTAGGGTTGTAGTTTGTAACATAGCTTAAGATACTAGAGAATGGGGGCTGGAGAGATGGCTCAGTGGTTAAGAGCACTAACTGCTCTTCCAGAGGTCCTGAGTTCAATTCCCAGCAACCACATGGTGGCTCACAACCATCTGTAATGAGATCTAGTGCCCTCTTCTGACCTGCAGTCACATATGCTGTATACATA